ACTGCTTCGTACTCCCTGCCAGATGTCCAGCTAGGCTCTTAACTTTGCAAGTACAGATCCCTGGAATAATTCAATATTATTCTGCCTTCTGACTGCCACTTTCATGTCCTACCCATGGAATAAGGTAGACATATCATCTACTACATCAAATCCCACATGTGTCTGGGACAGCACTCTGTAAATCAAACTAACTGATATTTCTGCAGCAAAAGATAGGAAGATTCATATTCACATAAGATGGGATAAACAATAACTGTAAATACCTTTGCATCAGTTCAGGCCATGTTTTGGTACCAAATGAGTTAAGAAAAAACTTTTCAGAGCCTTTTAGTCTCTAGAATTAGGACTAAGGGATCTGGTACATGTATATCTGCTTTGCTTTTTCTGGTTTCCTCCCAAAATATTTTTTTAAGAGTGTTGGTGATTCAATGGGTAACTTCAGTTTTCTGGTAATTTTATTTACATAAAAAAGATATTAATATTTCTTTTGAGTAAGGTATTATTTTGTTTACACGCATACAAATATGCATATATTCAACATGTAGAAACCGCCAAATGCAACAGAAAAGTATATAAATGCTATTGCATATTTACCCATTGAGAAGCATTACTTGGGCAATAAAGGACAACTAAGTTACTGAAAAAAATACATACATAAAACAATTTAGTAAAATTAGCACCATACTATTTTATCTTTTTTTTTTTTTTTTTTTTTTTTTTGAGATAGGGTCTCACTCTGTCACCCAGGCTGGAGTGCAGTGGCAGGATCTCAGCTCACTGCAACTTCCAACTCATGGGTTCAAGTGATTCTTCGACATCAGTCTCCCAAAAAGCTGGGACTCCAGGTGTACACCACCACACCTGGCTAATTTTTGTATTTTTTAGTAGGTACTGTGTTTCACCATGTTGGCCAGGCTGGTCTCGAACCCCTGACACCTTAAGTGATCTGGCTGCCTTGCCCTCCCAAAATGCTAAGATTACAGGCATGAGCCACCACAACTGGCTGATGGTTTTAAGATTAGCAAAAGTATATGTACAGCTTTAAATATTTAAAATTATCACCTTCTCCAAGTTTTCCTTCATTTTTGTCACACAACCAGCTCCAATTTCTTAGGCAGATAACTAATATAGTGCTTTAATATGGCTATATTATGCTTCTTTTCTAGAAATAAGTATCTTTTTGTTGTTACTATTTTTTTTTTTCTTTTGAGACGGAGTCTCCTCCATCGCCAGGTAGGAGTGCAGTGGCCCGATCTTGGCTCACTGCAAACTGCCTCCCAGTTCAAGCAACTCTCCTGTCTCAGCCTCCAGAGTATCTTGGAATACAGGTGTGTGCCCAGCCCAGCTAATTTTTTTTTTTTTTTTTTTTTGAGACAGATTCTCGCTCTGTCGCCCAGGCTGGAGTGTAGCGGTACAATCTAAGCTCACTGCACCTTCCGCCTCCTGGGTTCAAGCGATCCTCCTGTCTCACCGTCCTGAGTAGCTGGGATTACAGGTGTGCACCACCACACCCGGCTAATTTTTGTATATTTAGTAGAGACGGGGTTTCACCATGTTGGCCAGGATGGTCTCAATCTCTTGACCTTGTGATGCACCTGCCTTGGCCTTCCAAAGTGCCGGGATTATAGGCCTGAGGCACTGCACCGAGCCAGTGTTGCTACTACTTAAAAAATAAAAAAATTTTAAAAAGCCCAAGCATGAGTCAGGATATATACTCCAATTTCAATCTGTTAGGTATCTGTTTAAAAAGTTCTAATTTTCCATTTGGTTCTCAATGTAAACATGTTTGATTTCTTGTTCAGTTACACTTCCAATAATATTCTGTCTGAGCTTATGACCAACTAGGAACCACTAGATTTATCACTAGATTCCGGTTTAAAAAATGGTTTTGAGGCCAAATGGGATCACACCTGTAATCCCAGCACTTTGGGAGACTGAGGTGAGGAGATTCCCTGAGCCCACGAGTTCAAGACCAGCCTGGTTAACACAGCAAAACCGCATCTCTACAAAAAATACAAAAAAAACTGGGAATGGTGGCATGTGCCTGTGGTCCCAGCTACTCAGAGGCTGAGGTGGAAGGACTGTTTGACTCCACACCAGTGACCCTGTCTCCAAAAAAAAAAAAAAAAAAAAAAAAAACCTGTTTTGAGTAAAGGTACCTCACTGCTGGTTATGATAAAGCCCATGAATGACATAGTAAAAAGAGAGAAGTTTACTAAACGAAAAAAATTTCCCATACCAGATCTAAATGAAAACTGAAAATTAGAGAGTTGCTAGAGAAACATATAAAAACTCTTCCTCTTTGTAACAGGATTACAAAAGGCTAGAGTTGCTGAAATTACAAAACTTTATACTAAGTAAGGGAGCAGAAAAACCATTCCCCTCCTCTCTCATTACACACTGCAGATCTAGAAACATTTAGGAATCCCACAATTACGTGACATTATAATGAGAAAACAAGATTAGGAATTAAAACTGAGGCCAGGCGACTTTTGGAGGCCAGGGCAGGGGGATCACCTGAGGTCAGGAGTTTGAGACCAGCCTGGCCAACATGGTGAAGCTCTGTCTTAACTAAAAATACAAAAATTAGTCGAGTGTGATGGCGTGTGCCTGTATTCCCAGCTACTCGGGAGGCTGAGGCAGGAGAATCGCATGAACCTGGAGGTGGAGACTGCAAGTGAGCCAAGATCATGCCACTGCACTATAGCCTCGGTGGCAGAGCGAGACTCTGTCTAAAAAAAAAATAAAAATAAAAGAATTAAAACTGAATTTAATCTATTTCCTCCTACAAAAGATTTAGTGTTTAAGCATTTAGAGTTCTAGTTCAGGGGTCCACTAATTTTCTTCTATAAAGGACCAGAAAACAAATACTTCAGGCTTTGGAAGCCTCTATCACAACTACTCAAACACAATACCTGAACAGCCATAAATGAAGGAGCATTGTTGTGTTCAATAAAACTTTTATGAAGCCGCCACCAGTGTAAATTTGACACATAGGCTGCAGATTGCTAAGCACTATTCTAATTCAAAAATTTAACACTAAAACTAGACAAGGGATTTAATTAAGTGACACAGGCAAGTCTTTACTAATGTTTTTGGCCCCAGTTAATTGATTTCTCAAATGAGATTTAATAACAGTTTCTCAATGTCTCCTGAAAAAGCAGAAGTATTATTTATATAAGGACTGTGGTCTCATTAAAGGATTGCTCAAACTCTTCAATTACACTATGAGATAATTAATGAACCATATAAGACTGAATACAGCTTTCTTAAAAAAAATACAGATGTCGTTAAACTGCCTAACCAGGATTTAGAATAAAATAATTTTAGAATTTAAAAAAATCCAGAATTTAACCCTTATGTTACTCATAGTTAAGAAAGATTATTCTAAACTGCCTCAACTTTTTTGAAATAAAGCAGGAAGAAAGGTAAGTGCATTAGTCACAAACAAGTAAAAAAAGTAATTTTTTCTGTAGAGAACATATTCATTAGTTTAATGTAGTTAATTGTAATTAATAATTTAAGAATTAAAAAGGTACCTTGGAGTCATGTATTTTCTGTGACTAAAGCCAGATACAACGATTAAAAAAAAAAAAAAGAAAGAGAAAAAGTGACCGAATCTAACCTCCATAAATAGTGGAGGGAACTTAAGCAGGAATTCATGTTTCCTGACTTTCAGGGGTCTTTTCCTATTCTATAGTTTATATAGGTAAAACAACTGCATTCCAAGGCATAACAAATTCATACTCCAGTATTCTCCAACTGTCACTATTCTTATATTATAAATTCTGCCTGTTTACCAGTTAAGTGAAAAAAAAGTCAATGGTATTAAAATGTAACACAAATCTCCGAGTCCATGCTTTTATCTAAAATCCCGTTCTCAAAGACATACTTTCTAAAATGTTTGGAAAATGAAACAAAATTCTCCTCATCCCATCCACCTAATGCTTGACTACACTTCTGCTTTCCCTACAATTTAAGTAATTTCACTGAGTATTTTCGCTGGAAGTTTTTAACTGTACTTGTGGGCCCCTTTATTTCTCCTTAAACTTTTAACACCTCTTTCAGGCTGTAAATTCCTTAAGGGTGTCTAGCACAAAAAAGGTGCTGAATACGTATTCAGTAAATGAATGCGCATAAAAACAATGGATAATTATGACCTTTAACATAGGGGTTCAAGCTATTTTACTATTATCTGACTTGACAGTCAAAAAAACTATCCTAACTTGCCGCAAATATCCACTACTGTGATAAACAAAGCGCTATAAAACACTTCATAAAGTTTCTAAAGACTTTATAATCACTTGAAATAACGCCGTATTGGCCGAGAGTAGGGTGAAAGAAAATGTTGCCCCACGCTAAGCAAATGCTATCCCAGCAAAAGCTTTCTTTCCTGGCGAGAACTAAAATAGTTCTCCACTTAGAAGGCAAATACTCCACTGCTCCCTTCTTGGAGAGGGAACTCCTTGAGGGTTCCCGCAGAAAACAAATGGGCCTCAGAGGAAGCTCGCCCAAAGGCCAGGCCGGGGCCCCGTTCCTCGCTGACTACTGGCGGCGCAGCGGACGCCGCAGGGCGGGTCCCGGGAGCGGCGCGCGGGCTAGGCGGGCTCCGACCTCCTGACCTTCCACCCACGCCGGGCGTCCCCGGCTCCCGCTGGCTGGAGTCCATGCCTACTTGTTGTGCTCAGGTGAAGCCAGACTCTCCCGGAGCCCAGGAGGAAGAAGGACGGACCGCACTGCCCATCGGCTAACCCCGCGCCCCAGTCAGCGCCTCCTCGGCGGGCTCCGGCCCTTGGGGCCAGGACACCTAGCCGCTCGACCAGTTCCCCCACCGGCTTCTTTCGAGATTACATCGCTACCGCGACCACCCTCGGGATCCTGGAGCGCTCAACTCACATTGCTGGCCCCGGTGCGTCCTTCCTCCCAGCCAACAGGCAGTCCGGATACCGCCCCCTCGCGCCCGGAGCTGCACCCCGCTCCGCGGAGACCCGACTGCCTGCCTTTGGTGGAGGGAGGGGTCCTCCTCAGCTCAGCGCCTGTCGGGATTCCGCCACTTCACCAGCTGCTCTGCTAACCCCAGCAGAGTCTGCATTTGCCCGCGGCGGCCACAGCGAGGCATTGAGGTGGGAGGGGCGCGCGCGGGGCGTGGCCGGAAAGCTCGCAGCAGCTAGCACGGCAGGAGCTAGCGATTGGGAGCACGCCCTGCGCCACGCCGCTGGTCCAAGGCCCCGCCAGCTGGCCGCCGAGCCATCGAGCGCCCACTCTGGCAGGCGTAACTGCTTCACCATCGAAAGAACGATGGAGACAGCGGCCCAAATTAGGATTAGGATTAGGTTTTTCAGTCCGGCGATTCTGGTCTATTTTTGTCTGTTTTTATCGCAAGCCAGAGTCCTTGGGTGCAGCTCCGGGACATCTAAAGGGCCTGGAGAAATTCAGGCGGGGCCAGTGCTGTGGGTGTAGGTGGTGTAGTGTTAGACGTGGAAGGGAACCTAGAGAGCCTTGACTCTGAGGACTGAGGTAAAGTGACTTGCTCAAGGTCACATACTAAGTCAGTGGCAGAACTGAGACTAACAGCTTCTTAGCTCGGGTCATGTGCGTTTTCCCACTACACTCGGCGTCTTGAATGTCATTTTTCAAGTTTTATTTTGAATCAATCTCCAGCTTACAAAAAGGTTGCAAGTATAATATAAAGACCTTTTTTTCCCTGAATTGAGATTTAAATTGCTGACCCCGTGTCACATTGTCCCTAAGCACCTTCTACATAATCACATTATAACCACCAAAATCAAAATATTTATGTAACTCAGCGTTTTGCCAATTGTCCCAATAATATTCTTTATGATAAAAGATTCTGTTCAGAATCAAGCATTGTATTTACTTACCATATATCTTTCCCACTCTTCAAACTGGAACGTAAACTCTTAGTCTTGCCTTGACTTTCATATTATTGACATTTTAAAAGATTCCTGGCCAGTTATTTTTGTAGAATGGCCTTCACTTTGGGTCTGTCTGATATTTACTCATGATCACATTCAGCTAGGTATGACAGGACTCCAGAAATGTTGCTGCTTTCTTCTTGTTGCACCCTATCAGGTGGCACAATTTTAAATTCTCTCATTACCGATGTTTAATAAGGTAGTGTCTGTTAGGCTTCTCCAGTGTAATTACTTCTTTTTCCCCTTTGTAAATTAATAAGCATTTTGTGAGGGAGACTCTGAAACTCTCCTTTCAAGATATTTGTAAATATCTGGTTCTCATCAAATCTTCAATTAACATTTATATTAGTATGGATCCACAGGTTTCTATTTTGTTAAATGAGTTATAATCTATTTCTGTCTCTTTTCTCTCTTTTTTTGTTTTTCTTAATACAGGGCCTCCTTCGTTGCCCAGGCTGGACTAAGTGGCTATTCACATGTTGATAGTGCAATCATGGTGCACACTACAGCCTTGACCTTCTGGGCTCATGCAATCCTTCTGCCTCAGCCTCCCAATTAAGTAGCTTGGACTACAGGTATGCACACCACTGCACCCAGCCAATATTCTGTCTCTATCATTATTTATTTTTGATGCTGAATTATCCCAAGTTTGGTGGGTAGGGGTCCCATTCATTCTAGCTTCTGTGATGTGTGTGTAATTTTTTTTTTTTTTTTGAGACAAGAAGACATGGTATTGTATTCATTCTAGCTTCTGTGTTTTGTGTGTGTGTGTTTGAGACAAGAAGACAAGGTCTTGTGCTTGCTTCGGCAGCACATATACTAAAATTGGAATGATACAGAAAAGATTAGCATGGCACCTGTGCAAGGATGACATGCAAATTTGTGGAGCATTCCATATTTTTCACACTGGGGTCTGTTGGGGGGACTAGGGGAGGGACAGCAGGGAGTAGGGAGTTGGGGAGGGATAACATGGGGAGAAATGCCAGATATAGGTGATGGGGATGGAGGCAGCAAACCACACTGCCATGTATGTACCTATGCAACAATCCTGCATGTTCTTCCCATGTACCCCAGAACCTAAAGTGCAATTAAGTGTATATATATAGTCTCGTGCTTGCTTCGGCAGCACATATACATATATATATATGAAGACAAGGTCTCACTCTGTCACCCAGGCTGGAGTGTAGTCGTCTGATCATGGCTCACTGTGGCCTCGACTTCCTGGGCTCAGGTGATTCTCCCACCTCAGCCTCTCGAGTAGCAGGGACAATTGGTGCACTACTGTGCCTAATTTTTTTTGTATCTTTTTTTTGTAGAGACAAGGTTTTGCCATGCTCCCCAGGCTGGTCTTGAACTCCTGGGCCCAAGCTATCCACCTGCCTCGGCCTCCCAAAGTGCTGGGATTACAGGTGTGAGCCACTGTACTGGCTTTAAATTCTGTAAACATTTTATTGTAAAATATTTTTAAAATAGAGAATAATTAAAAGAGCTTTAAATATCAAATACACATTGTCCAGATTCAACATTAGCAGGATACTATTCTGTGCCCTTTTGATACATCCCCATCATTCTTTCAGCACTCCCCTAGTTACTAGCACAATTAGATGTTTCAGGCTCATCCTGCTCCAGCCTTAGATGTAACCATTTATGCAGGAGCCCTGATTCCTTATAGTGGAAAATGGTATTTAGCACTAGGTATGCTCACTGCTATTAAGGTATCTGTAGCCGAGGCTGTCTCAGGGGATACAGTTGGGGAATATTTTTATACATTCATACACATACGTAGCACATCTTTATATGTATCCCTACACACATATTTACAGCTATATTTGTCTAACAATATATATTGAAAAATCATGTGTTCATAGTAAAACCTCCAATCCAGCGTTATACAGTTCATTCTAGTTTCTGCTCTTCCACATTTATAACTACTTTCTCCTACAGAGAGAAGCCTGGCTCCCATTATCCTTGACATATTTACTTATTTGAATAACCCTGCTGTATGTGAGCAATCACCCATAGCTGCCCTCTCTTCCTTTGGAGGATACCACCCTTACCCCACTAAGGTTCTGAAAGCCCCAAATTAGCCATCTCAAGCCCCACTCTCATGTTTCTTTCCTTGCCATCACTACCACACCCTGTGATCCTGCCTAGCTTATAAACCCTACCCATCCTGCTCAGACCCAATCATCCCATGCCAAGCATCCCCCTTACCTCACTTTATATAGATTAGATACACACACACTATATACATTAGTTATATATTATATATTTTCTACAGCACCCTATATACACATACATACATCTAATATATAGCTTAGTTCTATATTATATTTATTATATATTAATTTTTATAAAATCTTATATATACACACACTATATGTTATATATCATATATGTTTGTTATATATATTATAGTACCCAAAACATGTATCATATATATATATATATAGTGTGTGTATATCACATATATATATAGTATGTGTATATCTTATATATGTATATATATAGTATGTATATATACAGTATGTGTATGTATAGGTAAAGAATAGTATGCAAGATATATATTGTATGCATGTATATAGGGTATTGTAAAGTACCCTAAAAAAGGAAAAAAGCTATTACAGGATTCTGAAAGAGAGAACAATTACTGTGAAGTACAGTTGGGAGGCTCATGAAGAGTTTAAAGAAAGAGATGACATTGAAAGTGGGCTTTGAAGGACACATAAGGATGGATGAGTAGGATATATGCCATTAGATATGGAAAAACTCTTGGAAAATAGTTTTAGCGGGCTCAAAGCAGAGAAAGAAATTCATTTTGCCTGAGTATGTGGTACAAGAATAACAACATTAGAATTTCAGAGTTAGAAGGGATATTATGTATCATTGAGTCCAACCACTAGTTTTACAAAAGATTCAAAGATGGCTCCAGACTTTAAGCTAAGTAACTAAAAGAATGAAATTAGAAGGTAGAATTTGGAGGGGAAAATAATGAGTTTAATTTTAAACATGTCACATTTGAGGTGACAGTAAGGCATCCAAGGGGAAATGAGGGACTGCAGCTTTAAGAGGGGTCAGAACTAGAGAAACAGAATCCAAATTTTTCTGCCTGACACTGACAACAGACATAATGAAAGAGAAAAAAATGAGGAAAAACAAGGGCAGCACAAACACCAATGTTATCATCTTAACCTAATGGAAATGTGTCCCACTGTTCAACTACTATTATACTTTGATTATACTTTGTTTAATTTTAAATTGAAATTTTGAGTCGCAAAAAAGAAGCTGTACTATAGGTAACAAAAAGAACATAGCTTTGGAATTGGTGACTTGCATTCAAATTCTAATTAACACCACTTAGTAAGCATGACCTAGGGAAAATCACTTCATATTCTGAAGCTCAATTTCCTCACTCATAGCATGAGAATACCATCTCCTTCCCTGAGGTGTTCTGAGGATTTGAGATATATATATAACTAGCATGTTTTCCACTGTCAAATGATAGCTAGAATTATTAGGCACTTAACTCCCCACTCCCAACTTACTCCAGCTTGTGAATGCATCACAAATATCTGATGAACATACAGAAGGTGCTCATCAGGTACTTGAAGAAGGAATGGAGAATTCGATATACTTCCTACTTATTTTATACTAATCACTATAAAGCATTTCTAGGCTTTGTATAACAGAAAAATTTTCTCACCAATAAATTAAACATTCTTAGAAGTATAACAGTTGGTATTTTAACGGTATATGTAAAAACAATGAAGCAATACAGTGGTTACCCATTTAACTTGCTATGTGATATCCTGCTGCAATTTATTGTTCAAATATAACCAATTCGATGATTTTAGGTTCCAAATAGCATACATTTGGGAAACTGAAAATGATAGATTACCTTTAAGATTACTTCTATTTCTGAAATTGTAAAATTCAGTGACGGTAGAACAATATTGCTCCAACAATGGAATTCTAGCTTACCCATGGAACTCTAGGGCCCTCCTCTTGATTGTATCCCTGAAGAGGTTAATAGCAGTTCCTTTGAAAAGACATTCTTAAATAAGTTTGAAAAGTACTATATATTAATATAGCCATTTCTTAGAGAGTCAGTATGTATATTAGTGGGCTACATTTGATGCAACGTTTCA